GGCCTAGGTTTTAATTCTTAGATCAAAAAGCTGAATGCAGAGGTTGGGAAAGTACTACGTTGGTCCCGTGTAAACGCCAGCTGCATCTAGGGGACCCTAGAAGATGTCATATTGTCATGTCCACAAGCAAAATGGAAAGCAGAAAGTCAAAAAATCAAGCGCAACAATTATCTCTAACATCTATAATCTCAAACCCGGTTGGCAAAAAAATGAAATCTCGACCCCTCGAAAGGTACAATTGGATATACAAAAGGGCAATGTCCTCCTCATATTAAATTCAAGTTTGGTAATGAATGTTGCTACAAGCAATAACATGATATATAGTTAATGTAATGAGTTCGAATATTCTTTATACTTACGTTTACGAAATTTTTATTGAAGATAAAAAACGAAAAAAAACAATGACATGGCATTCTCCCTTTCCTTTGCCTTTCCGGATAAATCATGAATGTGTTAGGCTTCTGTGATTTGAAAAGCTTCTTCTTTGTAGCTGGGAAGAAGTTATGTATTTGTTACCAATCTTTTCACAAGAGAAATCTTTGATGCATCCCCACCAATTTCCTCAAAACCTACAAGTGAGTTCAGTGTTTTCTTCAACCAGGACCTAGGAACAAGGTACCTAAGAAACATCCAGACATTAGAACATACTAATGGGATAAAATGAAACGTCGGTTTGTTTTCAGGAACAAGAAATGGAGCATTGGTCTTTAGATGACAGTTACCATTGTTGAGTTGGAAGGCCACAGCCAAATTTGCATTTTGTCCTTCAAAATGTACCAGCATAGCTGCATTTTGTGCAATTGCCATTAGCAGGAGTAGTCCAGTATCTTCCAATGTTCTGGCCATTGATCCACATATGACCTTTCGACATCCTACTCATGTCCAGTGCTAAGGGATCATCTCCTTCTGGAGCATCAAAGAAGGCCTACAAGTTACAATTTTTGAGTAGTATCATATATCATACCACAGAAATTAATTAGAAGAAGAGATATTGAATGATGTGTCTGTTTTCCTTGCCTTATACCATGTTAAGGGCTTCTGTTTCTGGTCTTTAAGGAGCTATGGACCCAATTTACTGAAGGGACAGGTTTTGAAGGAACTTGAGCCTCGGATTCTCCTTTAAGGTCAACCTTTATGAGGAGAGAAAGAAATCATGAGGCAGAAACTCAATACATACATGGCAAATTATCCAAAAGACACACAAAAATTGACTGTAGACCTTGGATGACCATTTACTCCGGGATATGTCCCTCGTTCCTTCATCTAGTCCTTGCAGAAAAACTGGTTCTTGGACTCCAATTTTCTGTTCTCTCAAAATGGCTGCCCATATTCTTCACCCACAGGAAAACAAAATATGGAATATGAAAAGAATTCTGCTGTGGGGGTGATAACAGATAGCATTTCTATAACATGAATTAGTCTTTGATTACTGACAATCCCATTGCTACCCTGAGAATTGAAATTTGATTGGCTCCAGCATGCTGGTTGATATTCCCTCTAAAAGTACATCTCCTTCTCATCCTACTGCCAAAGGCAGACCCTGTTACATTATTAACCACAACAGCCTTTTATAGATGCTCAAGAATAATAAAGCCTAATCTAGCTGATTTGAAGGATTGGAAATTAAGCAGTTTTCCTGCAAGCTCTCCATTGACAAAGACATGCATACCGGACCCTCTGACTTCACGGTGAGAATAGGAGGTTTACCTCCATGGAGAAATGATTCAGATGAACTTATGTCCACTCTGGAGACACAATTCAATCAGTGATGGGAAATGTTTGATTTTGATATCAAAATGTAAACACAATCATTGAAATTTTACCTGGTTGTGTACCAAAGATAGTCAGTGGTATCTCTTGTGCTGCTTAATTGTTCCAGTAGTCCTTTGGCTGTTATTGTTGATTCATCTTCTACTGAAGATACATTTTCACCGAATGTCTCCCATGAGTTAAATGTAACATTTATTGGTACGATTTGCACTTTGGATGGTTTATTACCAACCTGAAAGAGAAAAGATGAGTGAAAATGTATGATTTTTAGTAAATGAAACTAGATATGGTATCATGGATTTTGTTGTGAGGTTGCTAGCATCATGAATAGGCATATATAAAAGTAGATGAATTTTTTCTAGCATGATCATATGAAGCGCTGCCAAATTAGTTTTACTTACTTGGGCAGTGTTGAAAACAACATTTTTGAGATCAGGAAGGATGCTGATGGACCAAGGAGATGGGTCATAGTGCATGTTATTGAATCTGACCCTCATCGATGAATTTCTATTGAAGTTTGAGAGAAATGCTGCATAGCCTCCTGAGTCGGAATTAAAAACATATGCCTGGAAGTAGATACTAATTATGAGTTAATTTGCTCGAGATTTCTCGTTAATTTGGGCAAATTAGGAAAACAAACAGAATGTCATATACCACTTTGTATTTTCCCAAAGCTATGAAAGCTGGATCAGCATTAACCAATGCTTTTTCGTAAAACTTGATAACCTTATGAAGTCGAAGCAAATAGTCATGCTTAGGTTGCCTGACCAAAGCTGTCAAGTAATGAGTCATATGTCACAGTCCTTATTCTGTAGTTACAAATGCTTGCTCGGTAGAATATCGAAAAGTACGATTGCAATGTTTACCATATTCATCAATCGGAGCATCATAGTCATAGCTGGTAGTGATGAAAGGGCCTCCAGAAGTTCTTCCAAAGTTTGTTCCTCCATGGTACTGCACCAAAAATAAGGCATATAACCTTAGTATCAGGAAAAGGAGATTATATAACATTGAATCAGTTACCATGTAGTAGTAACATGTGGGAAAACTGAGTTTTTGACTGACCATGTAGTAATTGACAAAAGAGTCACCCTTTTTTATGAATCTTCAACCAGTCGTTGATAATTCGGACCACCAAATACTGAAAACCTATGGAAAAACAGATACACAAGTAAGCCTACAAAAGGATGCAGAACAATCTCCATTTGAGTGATTATGGGAGGGAGAGTTTACCAGCCAGTCCAAGCCACGGTCCACAGTGTAGGATTGTTAGCCTTGTCCGGAGAGAAGTAGTCACAATAGAAATCATTGCACGTGTTTATCTGTCAAAATATGCAGAAGATGTTAAATATTCACTCAGATAAAACTTCAGGCAATGAGGGAAAAGAAAACAGCAGTTTGCTTACTAAAGGGTCTGGGGCATCATCTTGTTTGCACATGACCCATGGGACCCCAGTATCCATTCCAACAGCCATCTTTGCTGCCCAATTCATGTGTGCTACACCAGCATGTCCATATCTCTTTCTCTCAGCCTCATACTCATTTTTTATCTCTTCACAAATTCAAGAGACTATGGCCTTGTTTCTTAGTGCCGTAGCTGTGGCTGTAGCTATAGGGTTTTTTGATCTCTTCACAAATTCAAGAGACTAAGGCTAAATACCCAAAATATAAAGAAAAATAGAATTGATCAATTCATCATCCATGACTTTTGTAGTGTCCCAGACCTGAGAGAGAATGATAAGACCACATTGAGACTCAAGCAGCTTTTCATCCTTCATCGTGTGCACAATTTTCCGAATGAATCTTTGCATTGCTTGCTGCAACACCAAAAATACAAGATTTTGAGGACAAGTTTTACTCAATGAATCCACAAAAACAGGATTACAGCATTATATAAATTTCCCTCTTGTTTTTTCTTATTTTGAAAGGCTTATTATCTGTTCTGAAGCTAATGCCATGAATAAACTTCAACCAAACAGGAAAAGAAAGTATACACACTACTAAATTTGAAAAAAAATCTATACAACATGTTATCCTATTATAAGTTTATAACTCGTCCTTTAGGTGCAAACAATTCCAGTAAGCCACATCCACCAGCCTGGGTGAAGATTTACAAATGATTTGAAAGTAAACTAATCCTGTCAAAGGTATGGATACTCTGTTATAAAGATAACTAGCATGCAATAATATGGAAAGAATAGCGTTTCTCTTTTTTACCCAAAATTCCACTCTCCACAAATCTAAGGTCCAATGCGAAGATGAACATATAGCCCCCTGCCTTTTGCACCAATTTGGCAAACCGAACCAAGTCATATCTCCCTTCAAAAGTATACTAAACTCCATAAAAGAAAACCATAAGTCGTTAGAAAAATATCAAAAAAGAAAAAGAAAAAGAAATGAAGAACAGAGGAAACTACATCACCGGGTGAAGGCTCATGAAGGTTCCAAAACACATAGGTATCAGTAGCATCTAAGCCACCATCTTTTGCTTTCTATATAAGAATTTCCCACATCTGCACCAGAATCAATAGTATTAAACTAACAAAAAAAGCAAAAACGGAACTTTCCATTTGATTTTGGGATGAGAAACTCCGGGAAGATCTAGTATACCTCAGAGGTGCTTCTGGGCGTAGTGTATGGAGCCGGAGAAAAGAATTCTCCTCTGCCCATTGATGATAAGAGCCTTTCCATCATAGGTGACATTGCACTGTATCATCTTGGAACTTAGAAACAGCAGCACTAAGTATAGCAAGAACCATTTAGATGCTGAATTAGCTTCCATGGTTAGAAAGAAACAGGTGGAGGGGGGAGAAGTAAGGATGTGAGAATTTGGAAGAAGAGTTAGTTATATATATAGTAACTACTTACTACCGTGCGAGAAAAGTTGAAAACAGAATCCATGACGGCTTATGGTATCAGGATTATAAAGTTTGCTCTATTTGTCTGATAATAATATAAGAGTCCAGGTTTTGTAGTAGGAGCTGCAAAACAAAGGCTATTGTATTGGGGCAATGATTAGTATTGTATAGTCCGGTACAATTTGAATTATATAAGCTTTTTCAATAATATAATCAATTTTATAAAAAAGAAAAAAAAAAGTTTGTTATTCCTGCTTCTTAGTAAATGTGGATGTAAAGTTTGAGGGAATTTCCAAAGGAAACAGAATTATCTCATGATCTCAACAGAAGATATCCAATCCAAAACTGATTGATTTTTGTTGGCAATTACATGGATCCTAGGTTTTTCTTTGCCCTCTACACCTCATAAAGGAGAAAAAGGTGAGAAGGAGAATGAGTCAAGCTACTTGTGAGTTATTTGTGCTCAACTCAATTAGTAAATATGAGTCAAGCTCAAGCTTCAGCCTGTATAGATAAACAAAGCTTGATAGTTAAAGTCGAGCACCTTCTTCCATTGGACAACCCCAAGAAGATCTTGAATTTTCAAACAAGAGAAAATAGATAGATGACAAAATGCATTGCCATTACTCCAACTATATATCACCTTAAAGTCATCCATGGTATGTCCCCTAATAAATGGCCCAAAGTCTAAGAATTCTAAATATGTGAGGGTCCTGAGAGATATTGAAAGGAAAGAATCATTTGTTTTGTGTCATATATGGTATATCGAAAAAGTATTTTATAATCCAAAATAGCAGATTCAGGGTATATAGTATATACCACCCGTCCAATGCACCAAAAGAAATTAAAAAAAAAAAAATTGATGGTGTTATAAGAATAACTTTTTTGTTTCACTTTTTAATATAACTTTCACGTGTCATTAAATGAGTTGATACATTTAATATCATGGATCTCATATAAATTAAAAAAATTAATCATTTTAATGATATTTTAGATTGTATAAAAAAATAAGATAAAAAAATTATACAAAAAGCATTTCCCAATAAAAAAAAGGGTAGGAAGATTTTACCACATCCCGAAATGAAAATGAAAATGAAAAGAGCAAATGAGAAAAAGGCCAGTGGCACTGGCCTTCCATCTAATTTGATTTCCTCATGGGCTATGGCCCAAAAGACAAAAAAATATATATATACTCTTAGACTTTTCGTCCGTTGCGGGACCCATGACCCATTATCCGAACAGGACCCAGTCCATATCACTGGACAATTGGACATCATCATCAAGTGATGGAATTTTGAAATCCGTTTTAATCGTTGAAATTTTTTTTGGCCATAGTGAAAAAATGATTAAGCTATAATATTTTTAGAAGTTTGTTTAATTTGTGCATTAAGAATATTATTTTAGTATTAATTGTTATTAAAAAATAAAAATTAAAAATTTTTAATTAAAATAATTTATCTAATATAAGTGATAAAATTAATATAAGGTTTTGTTATTTTTTATATTAATTAATGTAAAACATTCTTCGATTCAACATATAGTATAACAAATTTATTAAAAATTTATTATTTATTGGCTTAAAATTAAAAATAAATAAATTTAAAGATACAACCATACACATAAAATATATAAACCATCTAAATCAGCTGTATTTATATTATATTTTTAATGGTAAAATTAAAAATATATTAAAAAATGTGTTGAATCAAATGTGTACTAATTATTTTTTAAAAAAGTATATTAATTCTATCTTTGAGAGTAAAGTTAAAAAAATCTTATTTTAAAAGAAATTGTTATGTAATTTGAATTACAAAATAAAAAACTTCTTCAATAATGTTTTCTCAAAAATGTTCGTTTTTAGTATAAATTCTATATAATTTGGATTGTAAATTTATAATTTAAACTACCCAAAAAATACAATACGAATTGAAAAAAATATTCTCATATTTTATAAAATATCATATGTTATCTTATTATGTTTAACTTTTAAGTCAAAAATTCAAAATATGCACAATTTGAAATTCATTTATTTAATGTAAATTATATTATATAACGTATTATGACAATTATTTTGTATTTATAGTATTTTGATTCTATTTTTTTTATGTGATATGGATAATAGGATATGAGTCCACTCAAATTCAGAAATTGATTAAATTATTATTTGTATTGAGTTACATCAACGCGTTAAATCTTTTTGACCATGTCATGTGTGGTAGCATTTTGGCGCTTGTCAAAATATATATTAACTTTTGTTTTTGTTTATTTTTTTCAATTGCTTGTCCAAGGAGGATTAATGATTCAGCTAGTGTCTATTATAAACAACTAATTAAGTAAAATATATATAAATAAACTAGCACATAAAATTTGCTAAGCGAAGGGATTACAATTTTTGGCAAAAAAGGCTTATCAGTTAGAATTTGGTGTGGAAGAGATGAACTAATACACACTCATAGGGATTTTAAAACCTTAAAATTAGATGGTACCAATTATTTAATAAATTTAGTGGTAAATTTTTTTTGTGTGAAAATAAAAGATTGTTAGTTTGAATCGTATAATAACGGATGAGTTGAAATTATCAACGATTTATAATAAATGGATGAAGTGGAATCATCAACAATTTATTTCGAATTTTATGAATAAAAAAATAAATATCAAAATAAATTCTTCATTTATGAGATTTGACACACCTTAATTTTACATTAGTTGAGATTTTATTAGATACAAGGAGATTAGTATAAAAAAATACAATCTAAGATTTTTTTTAAAAAGCCTTATAATTAGATTTTTTTTTGGTAGAAAACCTTATAATTAGATGCTAATTTGGTGATTAGATTTCTTTTACCAACCTATAAAAAACTAGGACTATAACTAATAGATGGCCGAAAAAATTAAAAATATATATAACAAATAGGAGTACATTATTGCAGTAATAAAAATTTCTTTTCTTGATAAAAAAAATATAAATAAAATCTAATACGAGAAAGAAAATAGTGTATACTAATATTAATTTTTAGAAAAAAATTGTAGTCACAACTTTAAAAGTATTATTATTTTTTAAAAATCAATTGTTGAATTTAATATTTTATTTATATAAATTATGTACATTAATTTTTAAATTAATTAAAATATACATGATTAATTCATTAGTTATAAAAAAAACTTGACCGGTAATAAAAAAAAATAATAATTATGATTTTCTTTGTATTAAATGTGTGTACGTAAAAAGGATTCCATCACTCAAATAATTAGTACATAAAAAGTTAAAAAAAAAAAGAATTTTTTAACAAGTTTCAAATAACTTATGTGTGGTATTTATTATTCTATTTTATAATTAACTTATATAAAAATATGAATATAAAATTTTAATTAATTAATTAAAATGATTGGTATGCACCTGGCCCTTGAGACCTAATGGCAATAGTCACCCCGGTGCATTCCTCTCTCCCCGAGTTGGGTTCGAAACACATCCCTTGCAAATATGTTCAAAAAAAATTAAAATGATTGGTATAATAATATTATTAAAATAAATATCAATTATTATAATTTATTTTATATAAATTAATTACGTAAGGGTTAGCTCAGAGTAGACGTTAGAAAAATAAAGAAACAGAGGTTTTATTAACGGCGGTCAATGTTGGAACGAATCAGATCTGTCCATTTAAAATTAACGTTGGATTTCTTGTTCTCACGAATCCCAATGACCTTGTCTTTTTCCCTGCAGACTGCAGTTCTGCAAAAAGGTTATTCAATTCACGTCAAACCCTTCTCTCTTTCTTCTGTTTCGCTCTCTCATCTCATCTTCCCGCCCAGGCTCCGCAGCCTTTTATTTTTATTTTATGTTTATAAGGATTTTTTTATTATAAATATATATAATACTAAAATTAAGATTAATTTTTATTTTTAAATATAAATTTTTAATAAAAAATATATTTATTATACTTTTAACTTATAATATAAAACCACAATTAGAAAAACCCTTTTGTTCTTAGGAAATTGTCCAACCCCTCACCTAATCTTTCTTTAATAAACCTCAATTATTGCATTTTTGTTTGTCTACCTTCTAAGCTAAACAATGCATTTTCCATTTCTCTATTCCTAGTTTTATATAAGGATTTATTTATGATATAGGTTAAAAGTGTAATTAATATATTTTTTGATATTAATTGATAAAAAAATAATAAAAGTTAATATTAATTTTATCACTAATATTATATGTATTATTTTAATTAAATTATTAATTAAACAAATGTTAAGTTTTATTTTTTTAATTTAATGACAATTGATACTAAAAATGTGTTATTAATTTGTACTTTTAAAGTATAAATTAAAAAAACTCTTTTACATAATTAAGCTAATTAAGTAAGGTTTCCAATTTTATTTATTTATTTTGTATTGTTGTATACATCTCGAAGCTTTGACTTAATTTTTTTGGCCAAGAGCTTTGGCTTAATTAGTTAGGGATCTTTGATACTTACCTTATTCATGGTTTATTAATTCTTAGGAGATGTCAATGAAAGGTTATGAACTAATGAATTTCATCTATTTGAGTTTAATAAAAAATTGAGGTGTGCACCAACGATTTATTGATCCAAGTTGAAAGAGTTTAACTCCTCTTAAATAAAATTTTGAGTTTGAGTCTTGTCAATGAGAAAACAGACATTAGGAGACATTCCCTTTAATGGATTCAATGCGACTCAATTTCAGATTAGTTGGGATCTAATGTGATTACTGGATACCAAAAAATTAATACAAAAATTTTTTTTTTTGAGGTGTGCTAGATTTGACCAAAATATTAAGAAATTACTAAAACAGGTATGATTTGTAACATAGTTTAAGAATAAATTGCAATATTTGTAAAAATCTTAATAATATATATATATTTACATATGAGATTAATACATATTAATTTTGATTTTTTAAAATAATTAAAGTTATAATCATTATTTGAAAACTAAAATCTTA